ACCCTGAATTATGATAGTGAAATAATGAATTCTAAATTTCTATTGAATAAACTAATTTAGAAAGTTTTGTTAATGAATTATGATGTAAATACCACGTATTTTCTGAATTAAAAAGAAAAATATTTTTAACTCTCTCTGTCGGTAATTTTATATTTTCTACAAACTTGGACATATTACTCTATTATTTGTTAGTATTTACATGCTTACTGAGCATATTAAGCTCACCTTATTTGCTATTCATTTTTTCAGTATCAATATATTCAGAGTTTCGCTCCAGAACAGCGAAAGACTTGTTAGGAGATCATTTAATATTTATTTTAAGTCGAACAGTACTTAAAATTAATTATTTTTTTTGTAATAAGTATTTAATTTAGAGTTTAAACATGTCTCATAAATATAAGATATTTTGAGTTAAGTATGCAAGAAATATACTTTTTATTATTTTAAGATTGACTGCGCGAAAAATTCTTATAAATTATTTTACCATGATATGGTGTGCGTACGATTAAAATTCTGAATAAAAGTTATAAGTTGTTACATTTTTAATTCTTATTATATTGAATTTTATGCGTTCAAAAAAATACAATATATCTATAGATGTTAACGATGACCTTAGAATTCGTACATGCTTGCATGTACAGAGAAAGCAAGGTGATGGTAAATAAATTAAGCCGAAATAATATGGATTTTGGAAATTAGATATGCATTTTGGAAATCTAATTTTGACTAGGAACGATATTCAGATTAATACATATATATATATATATATAAGGTTCATAAAGATAATCGACAGGATTAAGTTCTTATATATATATTCGGGCTGTATATATACACACACACATACACAAAAGAAAATTTTAAAATGACTACAACTAGAGACCATTTCTTCGTCATATTTAGTTGCTAAATAATAATAATAATAATAATAAAAACCACAACTAGTGTTTGAATTGTGGAATACTCACGTTTGGCTTAAATACTTGTTATGAAACTCTCAGAAAAAAAAAGGAACTTAAATAAATTTTATACATATATCTATACAATACATCTTCCTCCAAAATTCATATAATAAATATATATATATATATATATATATATATATATAGTATATGCAATGTGATTAAAAAGTCCATATGGTATTACCCTTCTACCAAACTGATTCTCTTTTGGATTTATGCAAATCCAATTATCTATACATATATATATATATATATATATAAATAATCATGGAGATGAAGTACTCCATTAACGAAAATTAAGAACTTCAAAAAAAATAGTTCAAAAAGTTGATTGGCTGACGAACTATTCCTTTCGTCGTCTAGACTGAGACGAAGTCCAAACAGGAGAAGGAATGTATTTTTGAATTCTTTCTTCCGTTATATAACGGTTTTTCTGTCGCCGTCTTCTTTTACTTTTGACTCTCCTACCAACCTACCTTCTTTTTTTGGCAAAAACCCATTTTCATCCACACAACTCAAAATATGGAGAAAAAGGAAACTCTTGACTTATTTTGTTTTATTTCTTTTTTATTTATCACAAGAAGATAATGTCTCATATTTCGAGATAAAAATAAAATAAAAATTAGACGTTATGTTGAAAATTATTTTAATTTTCAAACTATATTTTTAATATTTTATTTGTGTTTATCATTATTATTTTTGGGTATTTATGGGTTAATTTCATGAATATGCAGCATTTTGACATATTAAATCCTCATGTACGTATTTGAAGAGTTATTAATTAGATTATGTCAACTATTTAGGCTAGAAAATTAAGTTATATTGCTTATAAAGTTAAAGTCTATAGATAACGCTCAGCAAGACAAAAATGAATCCTTATTCATTTTGGTCATTGCAATTTAAGTTGTTTTGAAACATCCCTAATGTTTCAATTACTATGAGTTATATATATGTATTCTCTTAGCTATGATAAACTAAAGTTTGAAGATATAATGATAGTATATGTATTCATATATATTCATTTTGGTCATTGTAATTTAAGTTATTTTCTTAAAACATCCCTAATGCTCTAATTACTATGAGTTATATATAAATGTGCATTCTCTTAGCTATGACAAACTAAAGTCTGAAAATATAATAATAGCATATATATATATATTATGTACATTGACATATATTAATTTTGTTGGACGCTACACGTTTTCGTATGGAATGATTTCCTTTTCTTATAATATACTTCAACATTAAAAGAAAAAACAAACAAACAATTTTCTTGGAGACCGACAAAGATCAAGAATAACATTCAAAGGTTCTTGGATCTTGGGACATGGATGATAAGTTCCTTATTTTTTTTTTAAAGTAAAAAAATGTTTTATATTCATTAATATAATAACTTTTTATTACTGATTCAACAGTTTTTTTCTTCTCCCAAGTAAAATTCAACCTCGGCGCTAATCAAATTTATTAATTATACACTAATTAATAAACCCTGTATTCATCATTTCGAATATAAATGGAATCATTTACGACCGGTCAATTACAACCTTATAAAATGTAATACTATTTTTAATTGTTAATGGAATAATGTCAACTCGTTGTCATGATGAATAGTGCATTTGTGCCAAAGAATATATTTGTATAAAAGAATAAGACCGTTTGATTTGAATTTCATTAGAGTATTTCCGTGGATTCAGTTTTAATTTCTTATATTTAATTTAGATTGTAAATTATTAATTGGTCTTTACGTAATATAATACTACTTAACTTTCAAGAAAAAATCATACACAATATACTGATTATATATATATATACACGTATGTATGTGTAAATCATAGACAAGATACTTAAATCAAACGTATAATTGGTCAAGAACTGCATAGTTAACATTTTCCAAAATAAAGTACTACAGAATAATCGACCCCCATAGCTAAAATATTTATTATATTACATATTTTGAAAACTACGTAAGCGAAGGCTGCTAATAGGCTGCTGCTTCTTAAATTGCCATATACTATATGTATACACACACACACACACACGTATGTATACTTATAAAATTCAGCGGAAGTTATCAAGTAAAGATTGGTATACGTAGCTTCGTTACGTAATGAAATAATGGATTACACATATTGCATGGCAATTTTAGTTTCACGGGAAAGAAAAAGGAAAAGAAAGTAAATATTTTTGGCAATAGTTTGAATACTTCACTACAACAAGATAACAGAGACATCCAAGACGCCAATAAGGAATAAAATATTTTGAAGTTATATGAAATATTAATACAACTCCCTTAACTACACATATATATATATATATATGGATATATGTTTGCTTTACGTATTGCCATCTCCTAGCTAATTTGACTAATTACAAAGACACCTTGTGGCTACATTTTGTTGTATTTTTCTTGGAGAGCTCTAATAATTCACGTGTTTTTTATTTATTTATTTATGAATGAGAAGTCCATAACGCACCAACATATACGCATACATACATTCATATATATATATATATGTATATATATCTTCCAGCCATAATTAGGGTTTTTTTTAAGTAGAAACATTAAGCTTTGGTGGTCTATTTTTTTTTAAAAAAATTTCCTCTTGGTATACTACTTGCATTTCTAATTTCCATTACATGAATTTTATGCGTTCAAAAAAAAAAATATATATATATAATAATACTTTGGTGTACTGAAAAAATACGTTGATCAATTTCATATAATAAAAATAAACACCGTAAATTTTTTTATATATTATGTCAAATTAAAATAAGTAACCACTGTTTTATTATTATATTATTACGTTAATTATATAGTTATAATAGTAACAGTAATATAGCTGCCGCCATTTTAACTACATCAAATTTTAATAGGTGTATATATATATATATATATACATGTCATATATGGTAAAAAGTCCATATTGATATAACCTTTCTACCAAACTGATTGCCTTTTGGGTGGGTTTATGATATCCAATCATCTATGTATATATATACATATATATATATATATATCTAATCATGGAGACTAAGTGGTCCAGTAACGAAAACAAAGTAAGTAGAAAAAATAGTTAAAAAAAAAAAAAAAAAGTGATTCTGACGAACCATCCCTTTTCGTTATGGAGGCTGAGACGAAGTCCTAACAAGACAAAGTATGTATTCTTGGATTATTTCGTCCGTTACATATCACGGTTTTTTTTTGGGCCGTCTTCTTTGACTTTTAACTCTACGTTGACCTCACAAGCCCACAGATGCACAAGCCTCTTAACCAAATCTCATTTTTGCCAAAAGCCCATATATCCATACACCCCTACAAATTAATTGTCAGTATGTTATAAATTGCTCCAAATATCAATTTAATTATATTTATTTAAATATAAAAAATAAATAAAAAGTAAAAAATTAAGTTTATATTTATGAATTAACTAAAATAACATATTTGGTCTGAGTTTAAAGATTTTTTGAAACATTATATTTTGCATAAATTATTTGTATTTTTATGAGTAAATATGGAACTCGACTATTTCATCTATATAATTAAAATATTTTAGGAAAATTAAAGTAAACTTTATTGAACCAAAAGGTAGCTGGTAAAAGTTCTCCGGCAATATATAATGGAAACCACACTTGTCTCAAACTACGATAGCTTCAATTGCTTGTTCAATATTTTTTTTTTATCAATTTTTAATAGACCGAAATACAAATTATGCATGTATTTAAATCCTAAAATATACAAATTTAGAAATTCATAGCCGCCAATTTTACTATCATTGTGGTATTCTACTAAAGATTCTTGTAATGGGCATGTCAAACCCACCTCTCTGAGTAAGTAATATAATATGTTAAAACATCCAGATTGAAGTGCATTACCCCCTCTTGGGGTTATATTATAACGCGTAAAATATATTTGAATTCTTCCCTCTCCCTTATCACTGTTTTTTGTGGCCGTCTTTTTTGACTTTTTTGCCCACTCCATTTCCGTTGACATCACAATCCTATAAATACATCCGCATGTTTCCCATCTCAAAAAATATCACACAAAACCTTCACTACATTTCGCTCTCCGGTTTTTGCAAAACCCATAAACCCGTTTTCATTCTACAACTCAAAGAGAACAAAACGCAGAGAAATTTAGCAAATAATGGAGCAAACTGGTGTTTGTTTCTCGATGTTATTGTTTGTTTTGGTTGCCATGGCTGCCACTTCGGTGCAAGGCCAAGGCACACGTGTTGGGTTTTACTCTAGGACTTGCCCTCGAGTGGAGTCGATTGTGAGATCAACTGTGGAGTCTCATTTTCGCTCTGATCCCACTGTCGCTCCTGGCTTACTAAGGATGCACTTTCATGATTGTTTTGTCAACGGATGTGATGCGTCAATTCTTATTGATGGGTCCAACACTGAGAAAACTGCAGTTCCTAACCTTCAATTAAAAGGATTTGATGTTATTGATGATGTTAAGTCCAAACTTGAAGCAGAATGTCCTGGAATTGTTTCATGTGCTGATATTCTTGCCCTTGCTGCTCGGGACTCTGTGGTTCTGGTAATAATTTACGAGAGTTTTCATCTAATATTTTTATTTTTATTTCATTATGTAGTTATATTGCTAAAATATGTATTCGTAAGTAATCAAGCACATTAAAGTTCTTTTCGATTAACGTCACTTAAATATATGCAGACTAGAGGACTAACTTGGACAGTACCTACTGGACGAAGAGACGGAACAGTTTCTTTAGCATCCGATACTGCTAACTTGCCTGGATTTACTGACTCTGTTGATGTGCAAAAACAAAAATTTACTGACAAAGGTCTCAACACCCAAGACCTTGTCGTCCTTGTCGGTGAGTATTATTCTGAATAATTTATTTCTAATTTTTATGTTCTTCAATTATTGATTATATAACTTGAGATAACTATTTCTTACTATATTGTTTTGTAAACAGGTGGACACACAATTGGTACAGCAGGTTGTGCTGTAATTGTAAACAGATTATTCAACTTTAATGGAACTGTTGGTGCATCAGATCCCTCAATAAGTCCTTCATTTCTTCCTACACTAAAAGCTCTCTGTCCTCAAAATGGTAATCCAGGAAAACGTGTTGCACTTGACACTGGTAGTGTAAGTAGATTTGATACATCATTCTTTACAAACTTAAGAGATGGCAAGGGAGTTATTCAATCCGATCAAGTACTTTGGACTGATGCCTCCACTAGAACTATTGCCCAACGCTTTTTGGGTATTCGAGGTATTCTTGGATTAACGTTCAACGTTGAATTTGGTCGATCAATGATAAAAATGAGTAATATTAGAGTAAAAACAGGTACTCAAGGTGAAATTCGTCGAGTATGCACTGCTATTAATTAATAGTTGAACATTTATTGGAAGAAAGTATTTCATGTCATATATTTACATTTATCGTTTGTTCTTTATAGCGTAAGCTATATTCAATCAAATAAAAGTATTGTAACAAAGTAGCTTATGGAGGATGTAAGCATAGAAAGAGACATGTATTGGATAAGGTTCACATGTCTTCTTTTATATTTATATATATATTTTTTAATTTATTTTTCCTCTTCTTTTCAACTGAATTGTATAATTTTCTAGCTTTTTTGTTATATAATTGTTTGTCTTTAATATTAATCTTTATATTGATGGTTATATATATATATATATTGACGATTTCATAAATTAATTAAATGAAACTTTCTGGCAACGGTTGGCCCTTCTCCCTACTTTTTCTAGCGGACTGACTGCTAGTTTCCACTTGTTAATTTATGTGTTAATTAAATAATCTAAGGAATATATGATTTTTTTTTTTTTAACTCTAATTAAATATTATATAGCAGAATCTAGTATTTGTACCTTAATATAATATAATATAATATAATAAATAATGCAACTGCTAAGTTTATTGGAATTTTTAATTTAATATATGTTTTAAGGAAAATTATATCAATTATTTAATAAAAAATTTAATTGTAATTAAACAAAGATCTTGGGACATGGCTGAGAAGTTTCGTATATTTTACATAAAATATTTATATTATTAATATAATTATCGTACTTTGTTACGTACTGATATTCAACCTTGGGCACTACTTGAGTGAAGTGCTTAATTACATGTGTTGATTAATTAATTAATTAATTAATTACGTGATGGCATGATGTTTAAGTTTAGGTCAAATAAATATTTGTCAACGCTTGATATCTAAGTTTCAATTGTCAACTATTATTCTATCACCCTCGTGTATTAACATATCATAATACTTCTTCCTTAATCACGAATCTTGTGATATTATAGAATATAATTCTTTATAAAAATAATATAAATTTTAATTTATATGAATAAAAATTATATAGAAATGAAAAAAAAAAATCTAAAGTAAATATAAATTTAAGACAATTGTCGTCTTAATTTTTGAAGCACAGGGTGGTTAACGAGATATGGAGACAAAAAGAGCGACAGCTTAAATATGTATATATACATACGATACATAATTATATATATGGCGCAAACTAAGGGCTGCTGGCTGCTCAATTAACTGCGGTATAGGAATATTCAGCAGAAGCTATCGGGTAAGATTAGTCTGCTTAGATTCGTTATGTGATGGATTAATGGATAATTATATATTATTATTGCATGGGAATTTTAATTTCACGTCAAAGAAAAAAAAATAAAAGAGAAACTATCTTTGTCAACGGTTTGAACATTTCACTACAACCAGATAACACAAAGATCCAAGACACCAATCAGAATGGATTAATAGACATAAAATTGAAAAGGAATTCGTCAATACAAACAGCTTAACCCTATATATGTATATATACACACACACACACACAAACATACACACATATATATACATATATATATATATGTTCGCTGTACGTATTGCTATCTACTAGCTGAATTTGACTAATTACCAAGACGCCTTCAGTCTACAGTTTGTTTTTCCTTTTTTTTTTTGAAGTCTTTCTCAGACAGCTATTTCGTCTGTTTTTCATTTATGAATAAAAAGTCCATAACATATATATATATATATATATATATGGCAGCCATAATAAATGTTTTAAAAGAAATAAAAACGTTAAGTTTTTTTAGGTTTAATTTTTTTTAAAAAAAAATTAATCTTGGTCTACTAATTTGTATTTCTAAGTTTACTTGGCATTGAATTTTATGCATTCAAAACAAATATAATATATATACACATATACGTTAATGATGACATATCATGGAATACATGCACGTTTAGTGAAAGCAAGGTGATGGTAAGTTGATTATGTCCAAATATGTATTTCTGAGATCTAATTTTGACTAGAAACAAGATTCAAATTACAAACGTATATACATAATAAGCTTCTTAATAATAATAATAAAAAAAGATTCAAGACATATATATAAGTTCTTTTATATATTCGAGCCGTACATATATATATATATACACACACACACACATATATATATATATATATGCAGATTAAAGAAAATTTTAGAATGACTACAATATAGAGACCATTTCTTCGTCATAATTAGTCGCCAAACTCGAAAACCACGATATTAATTCAAGGGTTTGAATTGTGGATTACTCACGTTATTACAGCTTTAACATTTTTTATAAAACTCTCTCTCAAAAATTTTTGTCGATAAAACTTATAATTAGTCAGAACATATATATATATATATATATATATTCGTTAAGATTCATATAATATCTTTCTATTATTAAAATTACTACGTCAATTATGTAATATAATATTTTTTTTTATAATTGTCCAAACATTCTTTGTAATACAGATAATTATTTTTTATAATTCTTATTAAGAAAATGTTTAGTAGTTAAATTATTTTTTTCTTGACCAATATCCCTATCTAACACAAATCATTATTTTGTACTTTGTTATGTAGTGTGTCACATCATATGTATATATATATGTAAACATTGCATTCAAACACTGTTAATTAATAATAAATGAAGACAGTTGAATGTAGATTAGACATTGAATTGACCCAAATAAAATACATACAAATAACTAAATATAAATATTAAAAGTTAGAAGTGATTATATTACCATTTAATAACATTTGGGTTGCCAACAACAAGCAAGCCATGTTGGCACATTAATGAGGTTAGCAATTGGCAGATGCTCTTCCTTTGACAATTGACAATTGAAGGGTATTATCATAATCTCAAACTTAATATTGCAATTGTAATAAATTACATTATCTAAACTTAATTCTTCTCATTCTAAGTTGATTAATTCTCGACCCAAGTACCCGAATTTATATATATACGTATATATAATTATATTGAAACTATATAGTCTTAATATGTATGAAAGGAATATAATATGATCCAATCATCATAATCATGAAAGGACAAGGACCAAGCAAGGAGATAAAACAAGCAGTCCAAGAGAAATTATTGGTTGACGGAGACAGACAACCATTATAATATTAACGCGGAAAATCACATCAAAGAAAGTTGAAGTAAGCTTTTCCATGTACGGTGGAGGACTCAGAAAAAGTCTTAACAGGACAAACTCTAACAACTCTTGAATTAACTTCTAGCTTTTTTGAAACTGTGATTCTCCTTTATCACCGCTCTTGGGCCATCTTCATTTGCTTTTGCCTCCAGGTTGACTTCACAGCCTATATATACACACACATATATATATTTATATATGTATATCCTTACCAGAAATATCACATGTCCGAGACAAGTGTGTTGTATGTTGAATCAGTCACAATCTTTGATGTAAGATAAAACTCTGAAAAAAGATCTATTTAGAAAATAGAAAAGCTGCTACTAATTTTATTTGAAACGAGATTATACGTTAAAAATTATATTGATCTAGTTTAAGAAAAAATTGTATTCTAAAGATGATACCAAATGAAAATAAGTGGATGACAGACTAAAAGAAATTTGCTGATTATTTTCAAACAAACAACAAAATTAATGCCATGCAAGAATCTAAAATGGGAGGGAGAAGAAATTATGATCCAAAAAAGAAAAATAATACTACATAAGCCTGTGATAAAATAACTTACTTCCTTATCTCTTTTCAAGAGATTAAGAATTCGAGTGCTTTAAAGTATTTTCTTTGTATAAAGAAGATAACAAATAATAATAATAATATTACGTAATGCTAATTAATTTAAAGTCTTTCATCGAAAAAAAAAAGAATAAACTAATTTAAATTCACAAGATGATTGACTCTTTATTTTCAGATTTTCGTACCAACTGCTTTAACATGCCAACGATTTAGAAGAAGTCCTTCAAGAGTGTCAAGAATCATTTCCAAGCACATTTTATAGAAAGAATTTGGAAAGAAAATTCATCCCTTTAACCAAAACCTGGACAGCCAAGGAATTCTTTACAGCCTAGATAACACTAAACTACCATAGCATATTTTTCAGGCATGCCACAAATTCCCCATGTATGATTAAGCCCTAAAATGCAATTCATTTCATTTCCCCACTGTTACGTAAAGGGGATTGCCAACACTTTTTAGATTTTCATTACTCCTGCCTTCTGGCCAGATTTCACACAAGCAATATAGTCTTTATTATTTTTATATACAACATCAAAAGAAAAGAAAGGGAACAATCAAATTTAGCGTTTGGAAATGCCAAAAAATTTTTGACAGCACCAAAACAACCATACATGCAACATTCATTTAAATTTTGGCAAGTTAACCAATCAACCAGGATAGTCTTAATTCCTCATTATACAAGGAATGTTATTTATAGATTCATGATCCAAAAGATTTGATGGACATCAAGACACAAAGCATAATGAAACACGTGTCCAAGGAGACAAGCATAATGCAAACACAACTCAAGACATACATGGGCCACATGGACCAAACATCATTATGCCAAGTGGGCTACTCACTAGATTATGGGCCAAGACACTCAAGCAAACCTTTCAAGTTTATGTTCAAAAATAGATCAATGAAGAAAGAATCCTTGGGTCGAATTTGGAGAGCCATGAAAGAAATGGTCTTTTCACATGGAGAAGTAGCCTATTAATCTTCTACAAGTCAACCAGCCGAATTTTTAAACTAAAATTCATGAATAATAAAGCTCAATATCTTCATTAAGTAGTCATGTATAGTGTGTAATATGGGAATTGGTTTTTAGTTATGAGATTTTATGCCACATAGCAATATATAGGAGTCATTAAGCTATGTGGGAGTTTGTTTATATGTACGATCCACAGGAATTTATTACCCATTTTTTCTATTATGATTGGGAGTTGGTTCATGAATCCTACCTGGATTAATTATTCACTTGTCTATTGTGATTGAGTTTTAGCATTAAATTAGATCTTACCCTTAGGATTAGATTAGATTAAGGAGTAATATTATTTCTTAATCCTCTAAGGATTGAGATCAGTTCGCATACAAGACTTTCTTAAATGCACCTTTCTTTCTTATGCTATGAAAATAAAACAATTTTGGCTAGATGTTACTCTTTGGAATTTGTATAATTCTTCAATGTTCATCAAGAATTGGTTTCAACTTACTAAAATTTTCTTGTGGCATTTTAATCAATTTTTTTTTTCTTCCATCTCAATCACCTTAGTTCCAATTACAAGCTAATTGTAGATTAAGTAGAAATGATTTGTTTAATTTAAATTTTAATGCTAATTGTGTATGTATGAGTTCAGATTGCATGTTAATCTTAGGTACTGCATCAGCATCGCTACTTGGCAAAAATGTCAAAATAGAGAATATACTAATTTGATTCAGTTTTCAGATACAAGGAGAAGTTTCAGGCAACACCATACACTCATATCATCAAACCCATTGCAGATACACTCAAAATTAAGCATTTCCACCAAAATTACTGCAAACGATCAGATTAGGATTGAATTGAGATACTGATATCGATACTCAAATCATCACTCACTCATGGTATATACAATCAGCGAATCAATTTTTTCAGGATTAAAAGCTGAGAATAGTGTTATAGATTTTACCTAAGAGCCCAGAGAATGATCCTCCTTTCTCTCCGTATTAGCTTGCCCTACCTCGGCTCCTTTTACAGCCGAGTCTTCCCATCAAATTTCTTCAGGTTGATGGCTCTCCTCATCCGCCGCTGCTCATTTATTCCGTCACGCCATCTCCTGGCGTTTCTTCTTCATCAATCGACGACCTGCTCTGATTCCTGGTCACATCATTTCTCTTCTTCTTTCAGCCTTAAATTGTCCATCAATCATCATCATCGTCATTCTACCAACCCTCACCGGCTTATATCATCATCGGACACGTTTCCACTTGCTATCTTCCTCTGTTTTTTGTTGTTCATTTTTTTTTAACCCAATCCATCTCTGTCGACGCAAGGAAGAAGGAAACCGAAGGTCCCAAAACGAAGTCGTTTCTGGCCTCAAGAGCTGGGCTTGGGCCTTTTGTCGGGCCGGGTTTTTCTAGGCTTTGAAAAACTCTTCTCAGTCGAGTGCTTTGCTGCAACTGGGAAGAAACCAAATCTACTTGGCTCCACATCGTTAAGCCTTTGAAAATTCTTCCACGCACGTTAATGGAGGTTGGGTATCCACCTTCAAGCTGGGCGCCAAGGAGAGATACAAAGATGAGTCGAGAAAACGTGTGATTCAAACAGGTTCGTTTGATCAGAGCCGTCTGATGTAACTCGACCCTACCACCACAAGTGTACTGATCACTTGGGACTACATACTGGCTAAAGCTGAAAGCATTAATGGAGATTCCAACTCGTTTTAGCCACTTGTACTCGTTAATGGCCGGCTTTGCTTACTCTCATCTTTCTCCTTTTTGACTTCCCAAGCTCTATAAAATACGTTCTTGTTTAACTTGCCACTCAAAAACCAGTATCATATATTCAACCATTTTTACACTTCCCCACTGCTTACCTTCATTTTTTCAAAAACCCTACAACTCTTTTTGTTTTGACAATGGAGGGTCGTTCTGGTTTGTTAATTTTACTCTTTGTTTTGGCTGCCATGGCAGCAACTTCTGTCTATGGCCAAGGAACGAGAGTTGGTTACTACTATAAGACTTGTCCTCAAGCAGAGTCCATTGTGAGGTCAACTGTGCAATCTCATTTTCGCTCAGATCCTACAATTGCTCCTGGCTTGTTGAGGATTCATTTTCATGATTGTTTTGTTCGTGGATGTGATGCTTCAGTTCTTCTCGAAGGACCTAACTCCGAGAGAACAGCTCCTCCAAATCGATTATTGCATGGATTTCACGTTATCGACGATGCTAAAAATCAACTTGAAGCGGCATGTCCTGGAATTGTTTCATGTGCTGATATTCTAACTCTTGCTGCCCGTGATTCCGTTGTCTTGGTAACTTGCTAACTAATTATAATTATATTATATTTATCCTTATGTCAATTTATAGTTACATATAATTTATAAGATTTTTATTTTATTAAACTAATATAACATTTGTGTACACAGACCAATGGACCAAACTGGGCAGTGCCTACAGGACGTAGAGATGGAACAGTTTCATTGGCATCTGAAGCTCTGAATTTGCCTGGATTTACTGATTCTGTTGATGTGCAAAAGCAAAAGTTTGCTGATAAGGGTCTCAATACCCAAGATCTTGTTGTTCTTGTTGGTGAGCATCAATTAAAATTCTCTACTATAAAATAGTTAATTATAAGTAATATTTTTAAATGGCGATGATTGTATAAATTTATTAATTATATGTATTTTTTGAATAACAGGTGGTCACACTATTGGTACTACATCATGTCAATTGTTTAGAGATAGATTATTCAATTTCAACGGAACTGGAACACACGATTCTACTATTAATCGTATGTTTTTGCCTCAACTGCAAATTCTTTGTCCAGAAAATGGTGATGGATCAATGCGTGTTGCATTAGACACTGGTAGTGTAAATAGATTTGACACATCTTTCTTTGCAAATTTGAGAGATGGCAAAGGAGTTCTTCAATCTGATCAAGCGCTTTGGAGCGATGCTTCAACAAGAATTTTGGTTTAACATTTTTTGGGTGTTAGAGGCATGTTCGGATCAGCCTTCAATATTGAATTTGGACGATCGATGATTAAAATGAGTAACATCGAAGTAAAAACTGATACTTCAGGTGAAATTCGCAGAATTTGTAGCACGATTAACTGATATTATATATATATATACTTTATTGTTAAAGTTGCAAAGTTCTAAAAGGATATACTACATAGTTTGTTTATTATTTGTATAATGTAAGTTGTATTTAAGTATTCAGATTAAGCACTATATAATAAAATTATAATAAGAGACATATTGTGACAATAAGCATAATAATCTCTTTTGCTCCTTTTTTTTTTAACGCATTTTCAATTTATAATTTGTAGAACTACGTGGCTTTCTAGATCGGGTGATAATTGTAGTGTAGGTCCTAACTTGTAATTAATTTTTATTTTTATTTTTTATTAGTAAAACGGTTTGGTGAATTTTCAATACGTTATGACTATTTTAACTAAAAAATTTAATAATCTTCATCAATATACTAGTAAGATAAATTTTCGTTATACTACAACAAATATTATAAATCAAACACTACTTATAATATACCCACAAAATTATAAACTTTATATTCTCAATAAAATTTGAATTTATATCCTTAAAAAGGCAATTGTTATACATTCTCTTTATTTATATGATAAAATTTTAAGATTTAAATGTTGTCATTTATTATTTGTTGAAATTATTAAGCAAATTCTTCTGATTTCTTTTAGTTTTTAGGAAAAATATATAAATAATGCATAGAAATCATCGGTTCATTACTAGTTGGAAAGCTAAGTACAAGAAACAAAGCCCAAAGAATTTCCCCTCTATCTCCAGATCACCAGCTTTTTTATATATATATTTTCTGTGATAAAGGAATGACTCACAGCCAACTTTCAAACCAAGGCCTTAATTAATAATCTATTAATATCATTACATACCAAACTAAACTAATTTTGTATTAAGTTAACCACATAATATTATATATAGAAGTTATGGATGACACATTTATATAAACAATTATCCCTATCTAAACAGTTTTGTGGTATGACCACAAAAAAATTATCTTTAACTTTGCTTGATTTAAGCTACGCACTACAACAAATAGAAACAAAAGCTCTGTTCAACCTAAGAAACAGGATACCAATTGGGCAAATGAAGCAATCCACATATCCACAAATCTTCCCCAACAAATCATATATAAACATATATATGATACGTATACTTTACCGCCAGACAAACACAGCATTCATAGTTTGACCTCTAACACCTTAATCTTTTCAATAAACCCTTTATACAATACCAAATTCAGACAAGCTCAATCACAATATAACGAATACCTGCTCTTATCAGACAAACTCAACGCATGACAAACAAGCAATCACAACATAATGAATTCTTACCGGTGGCTCCAATATGCCAGGCCATCAAAAGTTTTATTAGCTAACGTCATCCATAAAATCCAATTCTACATAACTACCTTTACCCCAAGTATGTTCCCATAAATCTTCAATCTTAGGAGTATCAGATTATATGCGTCAAAAGTTTAAAATGATTCATGGATGTCAAGAAGAAAACAATTGATACAGCCCTAACAAATAAAAATCACAATCACTTCCATCTATTAAGAAATCAAATCCCAATCTATGCTGAATAATAGAGGCAGTGAATCCAGAATAAAAGATAAAAATACAAGAGCATAGCAGCCTGGGGTTAGTACAGTGGTTATTAGAAGACATTGACATACCATAAAAGTAAAACATACACAAGTAAGCATAGACCTACCAGAAGCGGGTAACTCACTGAAAAACCATTTGGAATTCCTTAGAACTACTCAATGAACGATAAGCTAAAACTGATGTTAATTGACTGGAATATGTTTTAAGACAAGAGTTAATGAGTTAGAACACAAACCATGTTTAGTTCATTCTCCATTCAATTCCTAATTTTAATTCTCATATTAGTCTTCATAGGCATAATTAGAATGCAATTATTGTGTTTGATTTACCATTATCCCCATCTTTATCAAGGCGGACATGCTGGTAACTCAAACACAACAAACTATCATCTACTTGGTATATAACAAGACTACTATAAAAATGTAAAACTATAAATTAACATGGAACTGAATGGAAAACGAACCAAATGCATCAATACTTTAACATTCCATGAATTTTGTTGCAATAGTACCTACAAGATTTATCCCATGAAAAGAAATGATTTTCCACAGCTAGGCTCAATAAAAAAAAATCTGCAAATGCCATCCACCTCAACAAATCAACATCAAGGCAGAGCCACATACCTCATAGAAAACAGAGGATTCAAGAGAATACTAATACATTTGGTCTAATCCAACATGCTTGACCAAATGAAACAATTGATTCCGGATTGATCCATTTGATATAATTCTCATTTTACTTCCTATATTATTTCATTACCAACAATATGATATACAAGTTTACATTATAATTCATATCAATGTTTAAAACAATCATCCCATCTTGAATTCATTAGGACACAACTGTACATATTCAAAGTAAAAAAATTGGAGCTACACAGCCCAAGGTATTGAAAGCCTAGCAATTAAATGTAAGAAAAAAGTAGGATTGAAAAAGAATAAAGCAACCCAGGTGTTAGTAACAGAATTTTAGCTTCCAAAGGTTCAATTAAACCAATGAAGATGAAAACAAGAATCTTCATCCAGCATTATGCAATTGAATTGTCCCAGCTCAGCCAAATGAAACTCTGGATTATACCAACAACTGGGTATGTTATCTCAAAATATTGAGTCCAACCAATCAAAGATCATGAAGATACTAGCAATGCACAATGGAAATAGAGATTTCTAGGAAATGTGAATCTATAAACCAACAAAACTAGAATCTTTGTGAAATAGTTACAAATAATCCCAGATCATATACGACTATCTAATTCTAAAACAAGGGGCAAAATGCATTCCTCCAAATGAAAGAAGAAAAAACAACAATTCTATTCAAAACAATACATTTGAACAATGACAAACTCGGCAAAGGCAGAGCAAACTCACCTAAACATATTTCTAACAAGGACGGGATCAACTGTTATAAATTAGAACACTGCTTTGGATATAGAAATTTAACTTAGATGGAATGGGAATGCTTCTGAATAGCCTCAAAATTAACTATACATCCAAACATAAGCTGCACATCAAGATGAGAACCATACCAATCACTTTGAAACCAGAAGAATTTCCGGCTTCTTTGCTTTGCTGGGTGTGTTAGCATTAGAGGACGCATTTGCCGCGGCAGCAGCAGCCTTGGCAGCTGCGCGTGCACTCTTATCAAGGTTAATTAGGCTTCGGGTAGCCAAGATCGCCTGGGGAACCAAATCATGAGAGGCCCTCGCGTACAAACGCCTTACGGCCATGGAAGCCGCGTCTTTGACATCTTGTGTATTCAAAGGACCCAACAAGCAGTGGCCCAGAATTCTCAAAATCGGCTGCAAAAGCTCCCATGGCAATGGAATCCTCACACCTGTGTTTTCTAAATTCTCCACCTCCCCCTCCCTTTCGATCTGCAACCTACCCATCTCCTCCGAAACATCCTCAATCTCATGCCCATGCCAATTGCCATTGGTAATAGCAAAATTCTCAAAACTTTTTCCTTCATTTCCTTCGTCACCATCACCACCGCCGCCACCATCAAGCTCTTTGCTGCACGGGCAATCTTGACCAGCCCAAGCAGCCGCGAATCTACAGAATTCGAGCTTAGACCATGCGGGCATCTGAGAGATCTGCTTGAAATAACAATGGAGAGCCACCCCGACGATGCAGGCACGCTTAGTTGACTTGACGGCGATCTGGGGCTCCAGCGGGGGTGATAAGACGCCGACGGAAGGGCGAGATCTTTCAGGGACGGCGACGCGAGGGGTATGGTAAAGAGAGGGCTGAGAGAGATCCGGAACTTGGACGACGAGGGGTTTGCCAGCGCGAGCCTTGGCCTCAGAAGCGTATATAGCGAGGAGGACAGCCTCGAAGCCAGAAAGTGAAGGGAGGGAAGAAGAATCAGAGGAGTGGATACGAGAGAGGTAGATGCCCGATAGAAGGGGAAGGAAGGAGAGAACGATAAGGCGAAGGTGGGGATCAGAGGAGAGATAGGTTTCATAAAGCCACTGGCAAAGTGGGTCACCCCCGGAACCCGAACGAGGTGCAGAAAGGGCGGAGGAGAGGAGTGAGTAGGCGTCAGGGGAGGAGAGGAGTGAAAGGGCGGGGCGATCGGAGTCAGCGAGAGGGGAAAGGGAGTTATCGGGGTGGATAGAAGAGGAGAGAAGACAAGAAAGCGAGAGGATCCGAGAACGTTGTTTGGAGACGGATTCCCACCATGAGTGCATGGGATCGTGATCTCCGGCTGTAGCAACGGTGGTAGCGGGAGTGGTAGCGTCGGTGGTGGCGGTGGGTGGGTGAAGGGTGGAGGAGGAGGTGGAGGAGGAAGAAGGAGAAGGAGTAGAATGGTTGATGGAGAAGTCCATTTCGGTCTAATTGGAGTCTTCCTCTTCTTCTTCTTCTTCTTCTTCTTCTTCTTCGTCTTCTTCTTCTTCTTCTTGTTCGATCAGTGGTTTTGTAAGTGTGAAGGATAGGTGACTGTTTGGAAAGAGAACAAGCTCTCTAGATTTTTGGGGCCGAAGACGCAGAGGATGTAGGAAGAAGAGGATGCGGATACCAAATCTTTTTGGGGACTGCACTGCTAAAGCTGTTTAGCCGTTGTGCTGGTGGGGGCGCCTCTATTTTATTTTTCTATAAATGATATAAAATTTATCCAAATTCCAAAAAATTAAATTCTAAAAAAAAAAAAATACCCAATATTTATATTTTATTTTGTTGTAATGAAAATTCCTCACTTTCTAAAAATATTTAAATGCCCTCGTAGATTTCTAATTAAAAAATAAATTATGTCCATATAGATTTCTGAAATTTTACCTTTTAAGAATTATTTTCTTTTAGTTGGACCGGAAAACACCTGATAATTTTCTAAAGTTATATTAAGTTGTTCTTTGAACCAACAAAGAAAAGTCTAATCTAACAAAAAATTGAACTAACCCAATAATATTGAAGTGATAAACAGCTTCCAACATACCCCATTACCACTGAAAAATTTATCTCAGCTATGGACATTTCAAGATCAAACGAAATTTAAGGTTCAAATGGAACCTCCTGCCGTTTGCTCATCAATTACCAAAACGGCCTCAAATGAATTCAACATCATGTCTATTATTAAGAGCCAGGGTGAAAAAATACATTAACCAAATATGGTTAAATTCTCTATAACTTGCTAATGACAATCGAAATTCATTGAGATACTATACAACATTCGCGATAAGATCATCGGTAAATATAAACAACAATTAGAACTTTCAACTTCTCAGTGTGTTGAATTCAAAAACAATGCTCCTGCCAGAAAGGATGGACAAGTAAATGCTTTGATTGCATGATGAATGGAAGCTTTCTTCAATTGGCAAGACAGTGCAGGGAGAGGGAAAGAGATGAAGGCACGTATTAACATCTCCAAAATCAGTGACTGTCGGAAGTAGCAAATGAATAACTGAGCCATATGTAGAGAGGTAGCAAGCTGATGGTTTTCGTAGCTTGTTGCAAATGGATTTCAAGGTAAAGATTGAAACAGCAAACTTGCCTGTGCTCAGAAGTGCAGACAGCAAAATCTCTCATCGCATGTCTTATATACCAACTCTTGCACCATATTACCACTTATCAACATTGCAAAGGTTGGTCTAACCAATGTTTGGAAGTTCCAGAAGACGACCAATACAGTTTTTGCAGAAAGCACGTATAGATCTTGTGAGTTTTAAAGCCTCTGCTCATGATGTTATGGGTAAGAATTCCATTCATAATCAGTCCAATGTGTGGTTTTCTTTTTCATTCACTTCACTGATCGCATACCAACAGTTCTTACACGGAACCGATACTGAGGCTGAGACTCTTCATCATTGTCGTCATCATCGTCATCTTCGCTGGAATCATCTTCAACTCTGTCCCACCGTGCATAGTCCAGGGCTGAGTGTCCCTTTGGTTTTGGGATTGCTTGCCATCCTGCGGAATTTTTTTCAGATGGTCCATTGTTATTCTTCTCTTGAGAATTAACTCCACTAGGAGTTCTTTTAGGTTCAGCCCTCTGATCTTTTCCTGGTTCGGAACATTCTTTCACACCTGATGTTTTAGGGACAACAGCTTCTGAAGTGATCAAAACCTGCTTTACTTCAGCTTCCTGATCCTCTTTAACTGAAACCTCTGAAATCTCTTTTCTATCACCTTTCACATCTTCTGCAATGATCAAAACCTGGTTGACTTCTGCTTTCTGATCCCCTTTAACTGAAACCAGAAAACCCTCTTCTCTATCATCTTTTGCAGTTTCTGCAGTGACCAAAACCTGCTTGATTTCTGCTGTCTGACCCCCTTTAACAGAGACCATTGGACCCTCTTTTCTATCATCTTTTTCTGTTTCTTTCCCAATTCTGTACTTCCCTGCCTGTCCTTCTTCCTCTTCCTCTTCTTCCAACTCTGCTTCAGATTCAGGTATTGGACAAAGAGCCTTTCCTTGAGCAAAAACAAACATTTCTTAATTTTTCTAGAGTATGCATTTATTGGCCTAAATACTCACTAAATGATAATATCAACAAGCATATTACCAGCAGTGAATGCTATTAGCTAAAAGAAACCAAGTGCGTTGCCAGAAAGAGCAAAGACTGGAAAGCCTTTTGCCCCTTCTTTCATTGGACACAACTCTCAATCCCAAAAAGACTATATACCAATAAGTTCGGTCACAAACTTAAACACAACTGATTTGCTTTTATAAAAGAAACAATACTATTTAAAAGGGAGAAAAGAATTATGATGTAAACAGGGAGGTCAAGATATCATCCTCATTAAAAAAAAGGAAATAAAGAGAATCAAAAGCCATCAAACAAAATAGCATCCCAATCCCGTGGCAAAGTGCTGCACCAAACTCTAGTACCACTGCATAACTGTAATGGGGAAACAAACTTCGAAGTATCATCTTTCACACAGCACCCAAGTCGCAAAACTCTATGTAAAGCCTGCCTCAATTTTTGGGCTAAACAAGCATGTTTGTAATACCAGAATCACTCTGGTCTAAAGAAAGCAGTTAGGATGAAGCAATCACGCTTATTTGGCAGTAGTTATCATACCAAATTCATTTCTATACAGACTAAACAGAATTGCAATATCTTTTTCGCATGACAAAACACTAAAACAAGCTATAGCTTTCAATTTCCACTTCCATTTCCATTCAACTAAGTGCCTCTTAAATCATACGATAATGCTCCAAGACAATGATGAAAATGCATATTAATAATCTTTGAGAAGGAATGGTTACCACTTGCGTCCTCAAACGCGCCTCAAGGTTTTTATAAACTTCTGAAGATGGATTCAACTCTATGAGTCGGCTGACATCAAAAAGAGCTGCGTGGTACTCCTTCAGAGTGACTAGTGTCTGTGCCCGCAGCATCAGCGCTCCAGTGTGTTTGTGATCAAGCTCAAGCACTGAGGTGCACTCTTCAGCTGACTGATGAAAGCAAGAGTGTCAGTTTCACCAACAGCAGTTTTCCAAGAAAGGCCATGTAACAAAAAGAATAGTTACCTACATGCACTTTGAAACAATTTATTTGGCTAATATCCCAAGTATGATTAAAATGCAATTCAGACATCATCTGCAAACCTTCACAACATGGCACCACACTGTGGCCAAAGGGACCTCAAGGATCAAAATATATACACCTCCTCATGTGTTACTTCCTTCTGCTCATTATTCATGAAGATTTTTTTGTCTCTGTACCCTGTTTAAATATTTTTAATTTGTTCCTTGCACCTGAAACATATACTCTAGACCAATTTTATAACAAGTTTCTCTTTCTAAACTATTATTTTTTAAAAGCCACCACCTCCAAGCAAGAAGCCCCTTTTTGTCTCAGATATCCTAAACCCAACTTTTGTTTCCCATCCTCATGGAAAGTTAACTTCAGTATATCCAGATTCTTTTAATATTAGCTCAACAAAGTCGAAGAATTAGAAGAATACATTTCCTCATTAACATTTTGAATTCCCTAGGTTGGTTTCCATGCATAGCAATTTCAAGCAGGCTTAACAAAATGAAATTTAAAAAGAACATATAAAGTTGCTCACTACAAGACATCTTTTGCATCCAACAGTTGTTTTATTGTATGGAAAAGAAGGGAAAATTGATTTTTCACCTTTTTGAAGTCATGTAGTTTCAGATAACAAGCAGCTCTATTACTATGCAAAGCAATCTTCTGGGGCTTAGATTTGGCCATGGAGAGTGCATCTGTGTAAAACACTAGTGCCTCGTGATACCTTCCATCTCGGTACATCTGATGTGCCTTCTCGATCTTGTTTGGCGAAACTGATGCCATGATGCTGATGATGATCATGACCATCTGAACCGGCCAAATGTTGAACTCAACTGGAGGTTCAAGAATGTTTCAATTTTTTTTGA